AAAAACATATTTATTTTACACATACCACAAATAAATTAAATTAATTTTTGTAATTAGTGTTTTTGACATTTGTTAACATATTCTAAAAATATTATAAATTAGTTAAAAAAAGTAATTTATTTGATTTTATATAATTAGTTAGTAAATATAATAATTTATAACATATTTATTGTAGTGCAAAAATTTATGTTATATTTGTAATTATTTCTGGTCAATTTACTACAACATGCAGCAATCATATTGTCACACGGATATCTATCAGTATGCATATCGTCATAGTCACACTACCTTTGCCTCAAATCAACTCTATATTCTTGCCTGTTAGATAAATCTTGTAAATGGAAACTCTCACTTTGTTTATCAAATTGAGTAATATGCAAGTTTCTGGCGCCTACCTCATTTGATTGAAGTCGGGTTATCACAAATTCAGAGAAAATATGTCTGGCCTTTCTTTGTGTATATGCTTTACTTCCTTTCCAAGCAAATAACTCACCCAATTGAAAGTAAGTTGCTCTTAATAGGACGGTGATTGGAAGATTGCGGGCACCTTTTAACACTGAATTAATGCACTCAACCAAATTTGTTGTCATGTGACCCCACCTATGTCCTCCATCAAATGCTAGAACCCATTTCTCTTAGGGAATTTCATTAAGTCAGCTTAAGTAAATCTCTCCACGTTCCCATAGACGCTCATAATGAATATTATATTCACATTCAGTTCTTGAATAACCTAAAAAAAATACAAGGATTCATATTAGTACATTTAATAGTATATATTTATTTGTTTAACATTCTTATTAAAAGTACAATAAGGTTATGAAACATACCCATGCGAACAACAAGTTTATGCAAGTATGGAGCTTTGAATCTTTGTAAAAAATTTGCCGCAATATGCCTAATACAATACATGTGAAAAGCTCTTGGTGGTTCCCACTCTTCATTGCTTCTTCTTATTGCTACATTAATTGACTTGTGTCGATTAGAAATTATGCCAACACCATTTTGGGTGACAACGTGCCGGCGTAAATTATGAAGGAAAAAAAACTAGGCATCTGCTATCTCAACCTCAACAATAGCAAAAGCAATTGGCAAAATATTCTGATTACCATCTTGTACAATGGCCACCAATAGAACTCCCTTGTATTTTCCATATAAATGTGTCCCATCAACTTGCACAAGTAGTTTGCAGTGTCTAAATGCTTACTCGACGAAATATTTTTACATTGGGAACTAACTCATCAACATGATAGGCATCTACAGCATCCAACTGAACAACGGAACCTCAAACACAGTCACACATTGCTGCACACCATTGCAGCAAAGCTTCAAACAAGGCTTCCCATTGACCATAAACTTTTTCAATTGTCTTTTGCTTTCCCATCCATGCTTTCCTATATGTTATCGTGTACCCATATCGAGACTGAATTTCATCAATAACGAGTTTTATCTTAAAGGAAGGGTCAGACTCAACTATTGGCTTTATACATTCTGCAATTGTGTCAGAATCCAATTTGGTGTGGTCTTGAGAAATTCATCCTCTTGTACATGTGTGCGAACCGTTGTACTTTCTAATCTCCCAAATAAACTCGTTCTTTCTAAAAGTAGCACTAAGAAGCCATCCACAATCAATTCCATACCTCACACATTTACAATAAAATGTACTTGGTTCTGACTCAACCACTTTGTAGTCCACACCATTTGCTATACTATAACATTTAATTGCTCGTATAACAGTTTTTCTATCAGCAAATTGTTTTCCAACATACAAGTCTCCATCTAAATCAAAATGACCTATCAAATGCAAACACAAGTATATTTAATTAAAAAACTATATTTGTATTCATCAACAACATTGTTAAAAATAACACATACCTAAATTTGCATAATCTGAAAACTTAGAGGCATGCATAGCATCGAGATTTAACGAATGCATGAAAGGTGGCTCCCCAAATGGATGTTGTCCAATCACTGTGTTTGACAATTGGACCTTGTCATCACCATCATCATCTACTTCTTCATCTTCACGCAGTTCACCACTTCCATATTCTCCTTCATATTCAGAGTCACTACTTTTATTATTGACATTTATCCATTTTACCTCTCTATTTGGGACAGTGCTTGCATATGCATCATCATCTTCTTCATCAATGTTAATTGCAATTTCTTTGAAAACAACATATAACTCAATGACAAAAGTTGGTGGATGACATAGGTGATGTATTTGAAACATCTGTACAACATTAGCATCGTTTGTTATTGGAACTGTATAATATTGCGTGAAACTGCCAAATATAGATATTGGACACCTATAAACAATAATTTCTACTGCTTTTGGAAACACAAATTCAATATTTTGAGTAAGCCAATAACACAATTCGTCAAATGACATATTCTCTCTTATGTACACACATGTTGGATTTTCACACCTAAATAATACACCTTCACGAGTATTTGTAATAATCTCACTATTAAAATATATCAACAGAAGCACACTCATTTTTTCCTCTATAGTGATCTATCCCTCTCCTTATATCTAAAAATTCAAATCTACTCACTTGTAACGTCAATGAAGGAAGAACTCGGTATTTATAGACAAATATTTTAAAAATCGCCAATAGCGACTTTTAAAATTTTTAGATTAATTAATATTATTTAAAAGTTGTCAATGGTGGTTTTTTATTTTTTTACTCCCAAAAGTCGCCAATGGCAATTTTTAATTTTTTTGTACTTCCAAAAATCGCCACTGACGATTTTACATGTATATTTTTTAATTATAGCACCAAAAGTCATCAATTACAATTTTTGTCATGAATAAATTATAACTATTTTTAAATCTCACCATTGGTGAGTTTTAATTGTGATTTGATATATAAGATAAAAAAAATCGCCACTGGCGACTTTTATGAAAACCCCATATCCACGTAATATAGCAAAAATTCTCATAATTTTTGTATTTTAAAAATAAAAAATCATATAAAAATAAAGTAGCCCCATAATCTTATCTCGATTAAAAGTCTAGCACTTAATATAAATATTATTTATTATTGATGTAAAGTTATTTATATTTGTAAAATATTAAAATTTAATTAAATAATGGTGGATATGTTCTCAATTATTTATTTTGTATATCTTTTTAATTTTTTTAAAAAATAAATCTTAATAGAACTTTATTGTCTTATATTTTTTAAGATATTAAATATATTTATTTTCTTATTTAACATTTTATAAAGTATTATTATAAAAAGACATAGAGAGTGTTTTGTTTACACAACCAATGTTGTCAAGAGATGTTCGTAGTTTTACCTTTAGAATGGACATGGAGAGTTGGGTTTGATCCATATTTGACAAAACTAAAATCTGAATCAATCAATTGTTTACAAATTAGAAAACTGAAACAATTTTATTTAGGTTAATTACGTTGGGTTAATTTGAAATGTTGATGTTTAGAAAAAAAAAAATTCATTCATTCTTTTTCTCTATGTCAAAATCTTACTGAAAGTATGGAACAACATCTTTAACGTTCAAAATTTATTAAGATATTTTAAATAATTTATACAATTAAATTTTATATTAAATAGTTGAAATATATATAAAATTAATAATTTGATTTAGATCGAGTTTGATTGTTTGAAAAGGACATAATAATAACATACATGGTACTCAAACCAATTAAGATATTTTTGTTGGAATTGAAAACCAAAATAAATTTCACTACCGAACCGGGTTCATGTTTTTTAAATAGGTTCTGATGTGGTTGGTCAGCTGAGATAAGACCCCTAAAACCTATTAAAAATTGGTGTACGTGTCGTATGTCACCTGTTGCATTTAGAACGTTACAAACATTTCATAGAAATAATTTATAATTTTTTAATTTATTTTCATAATGTTTATATAATTTATTACAATAAATTTCATAGTTAAAATTTTAATATAAATTATAACTGAAAAATAATTTCTTGAATAATATTTAATTAAATTCTATATTCATATACAGTACTTTTAACATCCAATATACACTTGGATTATATCTTTAATTTTATGTGAAATGGGGAAAAAATATGATGTACTGGTTGTAGACCATAGGAAATATGAACATATGGAGATATGGAAATTTCTGCAGCCAGTTAAACCCCTTAGAAGCAAAGATCACACGATGCATTATACAAAATTTCTCTGATGAGAATTTATCTCCAATAAACTCACAGCTTGAACCAACCTGCGGGCCAGCTTTGGGGAAGTAAATTCTGAACACAAAACAAAAGTAGATAATAATAATTATGGTGACACTATGACAGCACTGACCAAAGCAAGCAAAGAAATGAGTATAGTAAACAACAGCTAGCTGTAGGCCATGTTGCATTTATATCAAATGCAGTAACACCCATAGAAATAATTGAATCTAGTTAGATAGTCCAATTTTGATGCATTGCAATATTATCGAAGTTATATTTTGGCACATTACATGAAGTGTGACTTTAAGCATGTTTTTGTGAAGATAACATTCGATCTTATACAACGAATACATGATTTAGTAAGAGAAATGAACACTATATGTCACTTAATTATGTAACAAAGCTAAATAATTGAGCATTATTTAAGTTACTTCACTATTTGGGTTTCATTTAAACACGCGGTATAACACCGTTAAAAGTAGTTGAAGCTCTATGCGTAATTCAATTTGCATGCATTATAACATTATCATGACTAGTTATATATTGACACATTACGATCTACTGTGACATATATACAATTTTATTTGTTCTAAATTAAAAGTTTTTCAATAAAATGACAATATTAGTTAGAGTGAAAGAAACTTTTTCATGAATCATAATTATACCATATCTACATCTACTAGTGGTAGCGAAAGCTACTTAATTAATTAGCAACAAAGATCACAACAATTGATAAAGCATTATATAAGTCACCTAACATTTTCATTCACATATCAGGTTCCTAGTTTGAGAAGAGGAAAGCATTCATCACTTCTAGGAGACATTCCAATGGACGAAAACAACAAAAGGATTGTTTCTTCTAAATTTATAGTTGCATGTTTGTTGTTGATCACTTGGAGCATTGTTGCTCCACAAGCTGAGGCACGAGCATTTTTTGTTTTTGGTGATTCGCTTGTGGACAATGGCAATAATAACTACTTAGCCACCACTGCTCGTGCCGATTCATATCCCTATGGCATTGATTCTCCAGCTCATAGAGCCTCTGGTCGTTTCTCCAATGGCCTCAACATTCCTGACCTTATCAGTTGGGTGCTCATGATCATCTATATATTATTTTTATTATAATCTTTTTTTTTTTTATGTCCGTGTATTTTATTAGAACCTCAAAGTAGTTATTTTTAGTAGCTTTCTTCTCCTTATTTTGTTTTGGGGTGTTTTAATTATGCATATCATCTGTTGTAAACCATATATAAACTGTGGCATGCATTTTCATGTAGGTGAAAAAATTGGGTCAGAACCCACATTACCATATTTGAGTCCAGAGCTTGATGGTGAAAGGCTGCTTGTTGGTGCCAACTTTGCTTCTGCTGGGATAGGAATTCTCAACGACACTGGAATTCAGTTTGTAAGTTTTTATTTTCGATTCATATATTTTATACCGATTTATTTTACATCTATTTCAAAATTATTTTTCTTTCATTTTCTAGTGTGTTGTTATACATTTCACTTCTATAGTAATCCTATAGACCTTTGGATTCAACCAGAGGATGAGAGACTTAATTAAGTCATTTGCATAAATGGGCTCATAAATTAAAATTTTAATATTTTATTTTAAAAAATCTTACTAACTAGTACTATTAAAGTTATAGTTAAGAAAATTAAAGTAATATATTTAAAAAAAATTATGTTGATAATATATTAAAGACACTAAAAAGTGCATTATCATACCTTTAAGGTATGTTTGGGAGAGAATATTTAGAGAGAAAGAAAAGGCAAGTCTTATTTTTATATTTTAAGTAAATATATTTAAAATTAATAATTTTTAAAAATAAAATATATAAATTAATATAATAATAAAAACTTAATATATTAATAATATATTTTTCATCTTAAATAATATATAATTCTTTTAATATAAAATTAAAAAATAAACTTTCTCCTCCCTTTCCCTCCAAAAATCCTCTCTCAAACGTACTTTTAACAGTACTTTTTTTTTAATTAATTCAAAACATTAGTTAGTCGCTACCATGTTTTTAAATCATAATTCACAATCTTAAACTGTTCCTGTAATATTATGGTTGGGAAGACTTATAAAACTACACACATTAACATGATTTATCATTGATATGTTGGCAATGCCATTTCTATCTTGCATAGTGAAAATCTCTCTTTCCCTTATGAAATAACTATTATCATATAGCGTATTAAAGTCTAGGGACATCCTGTTCATTTTGTTTTAGCGGAAATCTTTAATTTCTGTGTTTAATAAGAGAAAACAAGGTGACCATTAAACTGTAATGTATCTAACTAAAAACATTTGCAGATAAACATAATCCGAATTACCCAGCAATTGGCTTACTTCAAACAGTATCAGCAAAGGGTAAGTGCACTAATTGGAGAAGAGCAGACACAAAAACTAGTGAACCAAGCATTGGTCCTCATAACCTTAGGAGGCAATGATTTTGTCAACAACTATTACTTGGTTCCTTTCTCTGCCAGATCTCGCGAATATGCTCTTCCAGATTATGTTGTCTTCCTCATGTCCGAGTATCGCAAAATTCTTGCGGTACATTCTTATCCTTCTACTTTCAGATTACACATTTTGGATCACTGAATAGTTCTATTAACACACTATCTTTAATATATCATTTTGTATACAAACACTTCATTATTAATTAAAATTTACTGAGATTTATCAAATACTATGAGACTCATTTTTAATTTAACGAGTTCACTTTATAATACTAAGAATCTCTATAAATTTCAGTCAATATTAAAAAGCATTGCTTTTTAAAACATATATTATTATGTACCATTTTTCTTGAGTCATAATGGGCTGTTCCTATGACCTGACACATTGGTCATGAAACTATAAAAGGAGATATGTTAGGAATGGCTGAAAAAGATAAGGCAAAAAAGGAAAATTGTATATAATTAAGTATCAATTTAAGAAAACTGATGTTTGAGTAAGTTGTATGATCCATAATATTTTAATTAATTATCTTAAATTTGTATTTAATATTATTTTATTAACTGAAAAATTTAATATGTTTATTTAATATTTTTTGTTGAATAAATAGAAATTTTTAATGAGTAGAAGATTAGAAAAATAATATTATAGACTGTCTAGTATTTTTTAATTAACAAAAATTTGCAATTAATAAATGTTTCATTATAGAATCAGTATGTTGAAGAGGAATACCAGAAACAACTCCCTCAAAGGCTGATATATTTTTATACGGAAGAGGTTCCTAACATGTACCATTATAATTGGTCATGACAGTGATGTAGACTTTGTAAGACAGACATGTTTTGATAAAAGAAGAGAGTAACATATTTTCATATATTCTTTTTAATATTTTTATTTATTAGTTAATATTTATTAAAAATTATAGAAATACGAGTAATAACTATTACATGTAGATCGATTAGTTAATAATAAAAATATTTAAAACAAGATTATATTATTAATATTTCTGTCGGGTAAAATTCAATTGGTGGTTGAAGGCAGCGATCATTTTGCTGGTTAATATTAAAACCCACATAAATTCTATCACCCAAGGTGCAACCATAGTACAAATGAAGAATAAATGCACTTCCTCCTTCACACACTCTCTCTCTTTGTGCCTATAGTATGAGGATTTTAGGCACTAAGAAATTTTGGTGTATATTGAATGTAATAAATGAATGGACGCAGAATCTGTATGAATTGGGAGCACGAAGGGTTCTGGTGACTGGCACGGGACCGTTAGGTTGTGTACCAGCTGAATTGGCGTTGCATAGCAGAAACGGGGAATGTGCCACAGAGCTGCAACGAGCCGTTAACTTGTTCAATCCTCAACTTGTCCAACTACTGCACCAACTCAACTCTCAAATTGGTTCTGATGTCTTCATTTCCGCAAACGCCTTCACAATGCATTTGGATTTCGTTAGTAATCCACAAGCATATGGTATGTTAATTGTTAACCCTTTCTTTTTTCTGTTCTTATTCACTCCTATTTTCAATTATCTACATCTATCCTTTTTAAGCATTTCAAAGGAGTACATTTTTGTTTAAAAACAAGTATTTCTTCAGATTAAAGATATAAAAATACAATGAATAGCTTTTTTAATAAAATAAATATTATTATTAGTATTTAAATTAGCCTTTTAAAATTTTGAGAAAACTGTCAAAAAATAATTCTTAGAAAATGATACGGTCATTAAGTAAGTTTTCTAGAGATTTAAACTACTAACATAGTAATTTAAAAATTTAAATGGTTGCCATATTAGTTTTTTTTATGATTTTGTCACTAAATTAATCATTTAAAAAGTTATTTTTTACTAAATTAGTTTCTTAAAAATCTAAAATGTCATATTTAGATTGTTAAATTTGATTAAAGTAGTTATTGATGATAAATTAAGTCTTTAAACATTAAAATTTTATTATATTATTCTTTACGAAAGACTAAAGTGGTGTTGAAAAAATAATTTAGTGACAAAAAATTTGGTGGCTGTGATAACTTTTTAAATCTTTGAGTGATCAATTTCATTATAATAATTAATAATTTTCATTATATATATAACTTTAAATTAATGTCACATAATTTGAAATGGAGCAAGTAATTTGTGGCATAGATTAATTGAAAAGGTAGTATATCAATATGTATTTAAGAGTCTTATCAACAAAATACTTTAAAATACTAATTATGGTTGAAGAATAATGAACAAATATAAAATTTTCATTAAAAATTATGATAAAATATAATAATAATATTTTTAATCTTTTTTAACTAATATCTTGAAGAATTTATCAGCATTCTCTTATAATAATATGTTTTAATCGAAGGATTCATTTGTTGGTTTGAACATATTTTACTTTCTGGTCACCACTGACAGCATTTACCATACCCAATCCAAATAGACCGATTTGTAGAAATCAGCTTAAATGCTGTGGGACCATTCTCCGCGGTTAGTTGACGTCAATGACAACGTTGCCCTTCCCCTGCCCCATCTTAATAAATACACATTTAAGAAGCTAGGAGTCCAGCCTTACGTAAAAGGAAAAAATATTAAAGTATTTTTAGTGTTAATTTTTAATTAGTATGATTTAATTATTAAATGAGATTAATTTTTTAATTAGTATCATTTAATTATTTTTTATCTGTATTTGAAACCGAAAAGAGTAAGTTATTGTGCTGTGCTATAAACATTGCTATGAAAATTGGGAGCTGCTTTGATATTTTGTTTAGAAGTTGACAAGTTAGTGTCATTCTGGCTAGTAATTAAGGTCAAGCTGATATCCAACTGAAGTCCCAAACCGAAATGGTATGTTGAAACTCTTGGGCACAAAAAATTTATTCTTCTTAAAGAAATGATAGCAATATAATACTTTTTAGCACCCTCATTAAAGTGAAGCCCGTCCAAAATTTTAGTGGAACACACATGAATGTGCTAAGAATGAAAAGTGTTAAAAAAGAGCACTGTTGACATTGCTCTTCTTGTGATCATTGTAAAAGAAATTGACACTCGTATTACCCTTTTGAGGATATTTTGATTACAACTCACGTTTGTTGGTTCCATCCCCAAAACGCATAATCTTTTTATGGAAATGTCCAATTGGGAAGTATTTATTAGCCATTTTATTTCATATGCAGGGTTTGTTACGTCAAAAGTAGCATGCTGTGGTCAAGGAGCATACAATGGAATTGGACTCTGCACCCCTGCTTCCAACTTGTGCCCAAACAGAGATCTATACGCATTTTGGGACCCCTTTCACCCATCCGAGAAAGCAAATAGATTGATCGTGGATAAATTCATGACTGGATCCACCGAATACATGAACCCAATGAACCTTAGTACAATTATTGCTTTAGATTCTAGAACCTAATGCATCATTCCTATGAATCGTCATCTTTTCTTGTTTGTACACCTAATTTCTACAAGATATTGTATTATTCTAGACGTTTAAGCTTATGACGTTAATTAGGCATCATTTTTTCTCATCCCTGCTCAAACTGCTTACTTATTATACATATATAAAAAATTCCAGGAACTAATGTGTACGTTCAATATCGATCATGAATTAAGTGAAGAAAGCATCATTTACCATACCCTTTACACCTCATGACACCCACCCGACTACTATATGTTTCATCAACAACAACTCTGGATGTATGTGACGAAGACATAGATTGCATGATAAGTGCGTGTCAACAACCACATCATAAGAATGTAGTTGAGATATATGTAGATGTTGTGGTTGGTAAAACATCTTCTGTTGCGGCACGTTCGTTAGAAGTAAATTTATCACTCTCACTCAATCATGGGAGTGATGATGATGATGATTATGCAACAAAAGAAGGTAATATGAAGTTGATAATTTTAAATTTTTAAAATTAATGCTGTAAATATTACTAATAATATAAGTTTATAATGTACGATTTACATATGAAGATAATGAAGATATTTCATTAAATAATTTTTTTGATATTGAGACAGATGATTATTGTGATTCAATGATCAATATAGAGGATATTGGGGTTGCAAGTATTGGGAGTGGGGATGCTGATGTTGGGGTGGTGATGGTGCTGTTGGGGTGGAGATGAAGCACATTATCAAAACCAGATATGTATACAATCAAAGTACATAATAATGTACATAGGCGTATAGAAAAGCTGTGAAGAGTAAATATTAGAGATCAAAGGTGACATGGTCGTGTATTTTTAATGATGAGATGAAATCCTGGTGTGATGATTTAATGGTAAGGTGGATGAGTAAATATTAGAGACAAAAGGTGACATGGTCGTGTATTTTTAATGATGAGATGAAATCCTGGTGTGGTGATATAATGGTAAGGTGTATGAGAGATCGGTGACGTGACAAACTGTTAGTCACGTTAAAAAAAATTAGTTAAACATTAAAATGAAAAAAAAAATTCTGATGTAGTTTTTTGAAATATACCTTATTTGGAGGTAGTTAAAAGGTATTTAAACCATAAAATTTTATTAACAAATATTTAAAAGGTATTAGTTAAAAAATTATTATATTTTATAATTATTGAATGTACTTTAAAATGTGATTTTTTTATTTGATTTTTCAAGTTTAAGATGTAAAAATATTTATTTATAATAATTTCAATATTATTTTAATATTTATAATTTTTTTATTTTTCATTTATTATTTACATAAAAATTATAAATAAAACATAAAAAATATTTTTTATTAATTTTTGCAGTTGTATTATTATCTTTTATTTTTAAAATAATTATATATATATTTTGTTATTACATGAATTTTGTGTTGGAGAAAATAATATTTAAATTAATTTAATTTAAATTGATGTCAATGACATTATTCTGACCATGTACTCACCATGCTAACCACGTGCTCTTTGGAATTCCAGAATTTACTTCTCACCTAACTTAGCTGAAAGAGGACGGGAGTGAGACCCATTGCATAAATAAGAAAATATAATCTAATTTTGTAAAATAAAATTTAAATAATGTCTGGACAAAAAATAAAGTAAATTGGATGTTTTGTTTTTTAAAAATCTAAATTTTTAAATGTAATTTAATTTTGAAAGTGACTAGTATCTAGATTTTCTGACCACCCAGCTGTATATTTATTTCCCTACCCTATATATTTCCAATCAATCAGAATCCAAAATAAGCATGATTTCTAGTTGACCTTTTACCGTAGCTAAAAGGTGTGTCGGTAACTTTCCCCTTGGAAGACCCAAGTTGAAACAAAGCATTGGTTGGTAACATTGGAATCATAGCCTGAATGAGCAAAGAAATGGAGAACTCAACTGAACCTCACATAGTGGCTTTACCCATGCAAGCAGAAGGCCACATCAAACCAATGCTCAATTTAACCAAATTTCTTTCCCATAGAGGCCACAAAATCACCTTTGTCAACTCACATTACAACCACAATCGCTTCACTCAACACACACACCTACCATCTCTCCCCAATTTCCACTTTGCGTCCATCACTGATGGCTTACCCGTTGACCATCATCCTCCAAACGATTTTACAACGATGATCACTCCTACATGCAGGTCTTTGGTTGCTAAAGACTTTCGAGAATTCTTCTCGAAGCTTCTAGAGAAAAAATCCGAGTGGAATCCACCTTCTTGTATCATAGCCGATGGGATGATGACAACCATTGCTTTGGATGTTGCTCAAGAGTTTCAGATTCCTCTCATCACTTTCCGAACCTACAGTGCTACTGCCACATGGGCCACAATATACATCTGCCAAATTATTCAGGAGGGTGTCATGGATCTGCAGCGTCAAGGTTAGTAAACAAATTTTAAGTTTCAAAGCCTAATTTTATTAATTAATTAAGTTAATTTCATATATATTTATTTATATATGTGAATTCATTTTTCTCTAGTTTAGCAACGAAGTTGTTAATTAAGGAATTTTGGCAGGGAAAAACTCTGTTTTAATTACATATATTTTAATTTAACAACTTTTTGAATAAAAATATAAAATAGTAAATTAGTATAAGTTTAATGATAACAAAACATCATGTTTTCATATTTTATTTTGGATATTCCATTTCACACGTCTAAAAACTTGTTTGTTACTCATTAGACTGAGGTATGCGGAATTTATAAGGTGTGCGTAAAGCTGTCAAATTGGTTCTAAACATAAACTTTTTCACATAACAGATAGCTCTAATTTATCAAAAAAATGTGGGTAAGAGTTAGAAGTGGATTATCTCACACTTGTTAAAGATTAATTAATGAATATTATTTTATTTTTTTAATATAAGTCAAATGTACTTGTTTATTATTTTTATTAATTATTTTATTTAAAATTAATAAAAATTATATTTTAAATATAAAAATATTTTAAGAAAAATAAAAAATTATATCAATTTAAAATCAACCAAAATTGAAATTTACAAAAATTTATTAATTTTTACAAAGCTCGTTAGTTATTTTTGTGCATCAATTAATTTTACAATATTAAATATTATATCTTTAATTTTCACGGTGACAATGTTGCATTTATTTTTTAAAAAACATTAAATTTTAGTTAAATAAATAATTTTGAGTATTTTGATAATATACGACTTAATAAATTTAACTAATATTATTTTTTATAATCAATTTGATATCTCTACTGTGACTTTAAAAATATTTATTAAACATGTGATCTTATAATAATTTTATAAAAAAATAAAATTATTTTTATATAATAATTAATAAATGTTATTTACTTTTTTTAAGTAAAAGACACATACTTATTTATTATTTTTATTAAATTATTTTATTTAAAATAATATTTTATATATAAAAAATGTCTTTAAAAAATAAATTTTATTATTATTCTGTCAAATTAAAGTATTTCACTTTAAAAATAAATTCTATCAAATTATAATAAATTAAATTTTAAATTTATAAATATTCATTAATTTTTGTTAAGTTTATAAATTATTTTTTCTGTATTTATTAATTTTATAATATTAAGTATTATTTGTTTATAATTTTTATATGATAGTATTGTATTTACTTTTTTAACACATTAAATTTTATATAAATAAATTAATTTAAATATTTTAATAATTTGATAACAAATAACTTAATAAATTTAGTCAATGTTATTTTTTATTGTTAGTTTTGTGTCTCTGTTGAAATTTTAAAAATATTTATTAAACATGTGATGTTTTTAAGATAATTTTATAAATAAATAAATAAATAAAATATAATAATATTAAAATATAAAATTTTTTATGACTAATACTGAAATAAAATTATAAAATAATATGTTAAAAAATTATTTATAAAATTATCTAAATAAAATTTATTACTATAATTTAATAATTATTAATAATATAAATAAAAATTAGATAAAAATGTAACTTAATTTGATAAATTATATTTTATTTTATATTATTTAATAGTAATAATTCATTTTAAATATTTAATATTATATAAATTTAATTATTTTTATCTATTTTTAAATAATTTTATTTATTTATAAATTTATAGTAAAAAATATTATTAAAATAAATATTTTTAGTAGAATATAATAATTTTTAAAAAATAATTAGTTTATGAGTTAGTTCTAACTCACTTAATTTTATGGATTTTTTTTATTACATGAACTTTTTATATGGTAGACTTTTTTTTTCATAGACTTTTTATCTTTAGCCCACATAAGTTAAAGGCTAAATTAAGTTAGAACTGACTCATTTAATACCTCAAAGTGTGCAAACAAAATTATTTTGAAAAGAAAAAAACCTTTTTTTTTTCTAACTAACAAGTTTTATTTATTTCTATTATCTATTCATATAATACTTTAATAGATTAAAATAATACTGGTCTTCCCCAAAAGTCTTTTGCTTCTGTTTGCTCTGTTTTGTTTTTTCTCCTTCTCGATTTTCCAGGTCCGGCAATTTTGTGGTAATCAAGTGATAATATGTCAAATTTTAAAGCATTTCGGTGCTTCATCTAAGGGCTGCACGGCAATTCCAACGTTGTTGTTACCGTAATAATATACCAGAAACTCTATTAAATTGCTTTTTAATTTAATTTTTCTATGTGTGCACCTGAGCTTTCTCAGTTCGAATAATGAAATATGGTGGTTATTTTTGTATATGCTTTCTTCAATTATTGACAATTACCTTTGTTAGCATATTATCCTTGTTATGTATAGCAGTTTCACAATTTCATGGGCTTAAAATGCAGAAGATGTAGATAAGTTGCTCGCAAGCATCCCAGTGATAGAGAATTTATTGAGAGACCGTGATCTTCCATATATTTTCAAATTTAACCCTGGACACTTTGTCCTTGATTTCTACGTGAAAGAAACCATAGCCATGACTCAAGCCTCAGCACTGATACTCAATACCTTTGACCACCTAGAAGCCAATGCTATAACTAAGCTAAAAACTATATTTCCCAAAGTTTACACTATTGGTCCTCTCCACACTCTCCTCAAGACCCATGTCACAAGTAACATTTCATCATCCCTTGATGGTCATTTGAGAAAAGAAAATAGAAATTGCATTACTTGGCTTGATCATCAAAATGAAAAATCAGTTTTGTATATTAGTTTTGGCACTGTAGTGAAGTTGTCACGTGAACAACTAATGGAGTTTTGGCATGGTTTGGTGAATAGTTTTAAGCCTTTCCTGTGGGTTATTAGAAAAGACTTGATCAATGGAGGAGGAGGTTGTTTGGGTGACAATGTGCCTGTGGAGCTTGAGTTGGCGACAAAAGATAGGGGCCTCATTGTGGATTGGGCCCCTCAAGAGGATGTTCTGTCCCACCCTGCTGTGGGTGGGTTTTTGACCCACAATGGTTGGAACTCTACGTTGGAATGCATTGTTGAAGGGGTGCCTATGCTTTGCTCGCCTGTCTTAAATGATCAACCGATCAATTGTAGGAGTGTGACTGAGCAATGGAAGATTGGGCTTGACATGAATGGGACTTATGATAGGTTGAATGTGGAGAAGATGGTGAGGGATTTGATAGAAAATAAGATAGAAGGGTTAAGAAGCTCCGCGGATGCGATTGCGGAAATGGCTGCTAATAGTGTTAAGGAAACCGGTTCCTCTTATCATAATATTGAGAATTTGATGAAGGATGTAGCGTCAATGAAGGTGAGGAGCTAGTATTATGAGTAAAACACATTCTCCAGAATAACAATGCTGAAATGTATTTCATTTTTCAATCTAAAGATCGCTAAGTAATATGTTTGTAATTTTAAAACTTCAATTTGTTTCTTTTTATTTTATCATTCTCAACATAATATGTTATCTTTTTGGTTCGTTTATTGCCTAAAAGTTTTCCATTTTAAAATCATTGTTAGTTTGCTTTATTAAGTGATCACATCACAAATGGAATATTACATCACCAATGTCATGTATCAATACTTGCCGCATCACCATTTTTACTACAATTAAAATGACAATTCTAGATGCATTGGTCATCGATAGTGACTAAAATCATAGTAATATTATATTATCGACTGCAAGTTGACGGTTAAAATTTGTTAAAGATTTGCTTGTGTTTAACTATAACCGCCAAAAGTTTAGAATATATATGCTAAACTTTTATAAATTTGCTACTTTCTTTCTGGTCTTTCATAATATATATTATTCAATTATCATACAAATAAATATTAATATAATGTTACATCATAAATATAATATAAAATAATTATTTATTTTAATGTAATAATTAAAATTTATGCTGAATTATAATTTTTTTTATTAAATTAATCATTAAAATATTTTATTATATATTTCTTTACATGTATTATAAAACTAATATTTATGCAAGTGAAGATAATCTTTTAAATATTTTTTATATAGTTATTGTAATTTTATATAATAAAGTTAACTTTATTATTGGTTTAAAAATTAAAAATTAAATAATTTATATTTACTTGTCTGTATATATATATATATACTATTCATAATTTCTCTTAAACTTTATTTTCACTTAAAGCTTCCCTGGTTATAACTTTCATATTTGATAGGATTTTAAAATTTTTCGTCCCAATTCATTCTTAAAATATTTCACTGTGAAACAATTAGGATATCTCACCTTTTAGGTCTTGAAGGAAACGTCACCTTCCCAAAACAATATACAAATAAGAATACATCACTATAATGCCTAGAGGAATATCTCACCCTCGCAAAATAAGATGATTAAGGATACGTCATTTTAAGCTCTAGTGGTATACTGACCCTCTCAAAAAAAGACAAATAAAGAAAAACGTTAAAAATAGAAATGATACAACTTGTAATTTTAATAATTTCAAAATATCGTAGCAAATAAGCCCAAAAGAAAAGCTTTAATTTTTGTATGTATTTTTCATATTTTTCTCGTTTGAAAATATGTCACCATTAAATTGATTTTGTGACATCTTTAATTTTTTACTAAATTTTAAGGTAAAAAAAAAACTTTAATGACAAAATATGAAAAATAAAATAAAGTTTTTATACATAGAGTATTAAAAATGTGATAAAAAATTAAATTTCTTTTGCATAATTCTATTTACAAAAAATACATAGATATTTGAAACAATAAAAGATGAAAGTTTATTGGAAAATTACAATTCATTATATATAAAATTACACGTTAGTAATAGAGAATATATATACATTGAATTTTCTTCATATACAAAAGTTTAATATTTATAAATCTCTACCAAAAGTACATTTGAACTTAAATTTAAATAATTGTAATATCAATAAAAAAATAATATAAGTCCTAATGAGCAATCTATAACCACACCAAAGGTATAGAGGATATGATCCTAGTCGTCATCTTCAAATCAGTCCTCTATCTTTGTTAGTTTCTCCAATGTTAAGTTCTTGTCATAATGATCTCTAGTGTCGGTGACGACCTCAATACCAATTAACTACTCTCGAGTGAACGACTTCGGTCTTCTCATATGATCGTGGTCATGAAAGGTGTACACCATAGTTCACTGCATTTGTCGTTCAGGTATATACACTACGTAAAAAATGACTTTTGAAAGTAATTTCGCCTTTCTTTAGAGAGCGGTTAATGGATCTCTAAAATCACGCGCTATCCAATGTCTTATATTTAAGAAAGCGATTAGACAACCGCTCTCAAATGTACTTGGAGAGTGGTTAAGCGGGTAACTGCTCTCAAAAGTAGAGTTTAGAGAGCGGTTACCCGCCTAACCACTCTTAGAAGTCAGCACTTTGGAGAGCGGTTCCAACTCAACCGCTCTCTAATATAACACCTATGAGAGCGTTTCTTTAACTGCTCTCTTATGTCGACTTCTAAGAGCAGTTCCAAAGTAACCGCTCTCAGAAGTTTATTTCTAAGAGCGGTTTTCAAATAACTGCTTTCTAAAGTGTATTTTTGAGAGCAATTTTTCCTTAACCGCTCTCTAAGTATAGGAAAATTTTGAATTTTTTTTTATTAAAACTGACAATATTTCAAATTTTAGCATACCTAATAAACAATATTCCTCCTTATAAACAGTGCAAATAGAATAAACATGTATAAAAAGAGAGCCTCTAATATAGCAAAATATGAAAACATTCCACAATATGAAAGCACAAATCCAATCAACATATATACAAATATCCCAAACTAAAGGAACAATATAGCAAAAATGCATCTACATGTGCAGTAAACAATTACACAAAAACATTAGGACAAAAACAATCTATACACTTGTTGCCTTAGGTAAATTACAAAAATCACAAATGTTGTGAAAAAAAATGCACAAAAATCTATTGTTCTTAATGTGTACTTTAAATATCTATGGTGTATATTTGCACACCACTCATTTTGCACTCGATGAATTCTCTCATCAGGAAATGTTGGGATTTGGAAATCTGAAAAATACTGCAAACAAAACAACAAAAAACAAAGGTTAGTTAAGTTAAATTTAAACTAAATGGCGCAGAGACTTAATATTAAGAAATAGAAATGATCCTCTTACGATATATATATATATAATTGTAGTTTGGCCATGGTGTAAAGCATCTCCAATGAAGAGACACTCATAAAATGGGTAGTCATCGTTATTTGATTGTTTTTGACACTATGTGGAGGAAAAAAACATAAAAATAAGAATTAACATAGATTTATATACAATGTTATAAGTTTAAAGTAAAAAGAGTTTTTGTATTATATATATACATGTACAGTAACCCATCTTGTTTGATTCATCTTTGTCCAAGAGGTTTGCACTTGTCTCTTTGCTCGATATGTGACAAAAGCACTAATAATAGTAGATGAATCAAGTAAGTTACATTTTAACAACCACTTATGCAAGATAGACTATTAAAATGCATGCATACTTACTTATTGAACAGGTTCTTCATATTTGTTCTATTCTTTAGTGGTTTGCATAGAGAATCCATATAATACATTGTTTCATCAGAGGTGTTGATAACAATTAAGAGCCAATGTTCCCTATCAATATCGAAATTATATGTTTGAGATTACAAACTTAATAAAACAAATATGAATGCTCATAAAAATGACTTACTCAACATTGTAAGGTGCAAAAACCAAGTGATCTTCACCCATATGACGCTTCAATGTTTCAGCTATATGTTGATGTGGGTTCAGATTGAGCTTTTAATCTATTTCATATAGAGATATAAATGAAAATTTATTTGTCTTATTTGTGCCATGCAAGTAAGCTTCACACAAATACCTTGTAGTGCAAAAGAAGAATTGAAATGCATTAAATAAGGAATTGAACATAAAGTATATCCACTTCCTATAATTACATAAATGGAAAAAATAATTACTTAATGTAAAGGTTGATGCTGAAGGCACTCAACCAATGTCGTCGTATGACCTCTAATATGTTTTCCTTCCCCACTATGTCATAAAATTCCTTTCCTCAGTGCTCAACTGTCAAATGAATTATAGTAGTATCAATGCTTGTGAGCTTCTCACAAAAAGCTTCATCATATCGAAGCATGCAGCACCTTGGACTTGTACCAACTCATAAACCTCTGATGAATTACAAACAACACCTTTATTGCATGGACCAGCAATGGATTCCTTAGTATGGCCTGTCTCTTTCCCTAACCCTTTACTTGATGATAGGGCAACCTAAATTATATCAAAGTTTGATTATGAAATGTAACATTTATAAATTATGCATCTAGTTTGAGAATCTATAAAGAAATTTGCCAACATACCTTGGGTTGTAAAGTGATTAGGCACAATGGCCAAGCAATATAAGTACCAATTGCATCTCTTAGGCAAATGAGGTTGGCTTGTTCATTTGGGACAGAGAACGCAATCTCTTCCTCATGTTGTTGCACTATCTCTATTGAAACCTTAGCATGATCTAGAGGAAGAGGCATACTGTGTAAATTTTCATTAACCGCTGTATGAAATACTCTTCCTCTTGCAACGACATGATATGGGGTGCTCAAATATAACATACAATCATGATCATCCTAGAAAGACAAAAAATTAACTCATATGTAATTTAATCATATGAAGTTAACAGTAATTTAAAAGGTAAAATAACAAATGTTTATAAGTACCTATGGAATCTCAAAAGATGCAACTAGTGTACAATTGCTTCTATGGCTATTACAGGCTGCATCAAGAGGAATTTTGGCACCTACCTCCATCGTTGGATGCATTTGACGAGGAATACTGTAAGGTGGTGGCATTAAACCAAGCATTAATGGGGGAAGTCCTTGACCCCCTGTTAACTAGGCCACAACACTTGTCAAATGCGCTATTTGATGCTTCATGTTCTGCCACTTAGTAGATGATGGGTGTGGATGTGATGTTAGCCCAAATACAGATTTTTGGGTGACTTCAAAACCAGCAGCTCTCACACAACCAAGATGCTCTCTTACACCAAGTGCTTGAAATAGTATGTCATTTTTGGCTATTGATTCAGACTCAGCCTCTCGAGTTCCCTATGAAAAGGTTTCCTATAATCAACATAACATAACATAATTAGTGGATTAATCAAATGTTCAAATATAAGGATAGTGGCTAAACACTTATTATGCAATTATTTATAACTTACAAATTCATGGACCATTTTTTATACTCCTTCATCATTAATATGACCATCTTTGTTTACCCGAGCAACCTTCCATAGGACATGTCAAGGTACAGAAATCACATTTGACCCAGATGAAGCAATCTACATGAAGTAGTCCCAGATATTAGAAATAAATATCCACAAACGTGCAATTTTTAAAGTGAAATAGGACTATACCAATTCTTGCTCCAAGTATATCCCTTAGCTGACCTCCTATATCTATACGACATTCCTTTAGCCCTTTATTGCATTCGCCTCATTTTCTTTATGAATTGTAAAAAACATTGAAATTTCACCAAATCAGTTAATAATTATAAATGAGTTGATTCATTAACTGATATATGTTAGAGAAATTACCTTAAATTCTTCACTGCAGCTTTGGTTGACAAACTCCATCCAGTGATCAGCCACAGTGATGAATCTCTGATACTTCTCTAGAGGATGAGGGAGACAATTTCTGTCTTTGTTCCAAGTATGTTTCCTTATCCGTGTATGGAATATACGAAGATCTCATCCGGCCAATGAAAGGAAAAATCTTTGTGGTTGTGTTTCACAGCAAACCTTTGATGTGAAAGACAACCACAAAGATTTGCTACATTGTGCATAAAAAAAATATCAGATATGCTTCATCGTCTTATAGTAGTCTACAATTATTGAAAACATTTATATTTACCTCCACTTGCTCCTAAATATCCTACTTAAAGTTAGAAGACACATTTGTCCAATCAAAATAACTAATTGATAATACTTCTAGTAACAAATCCAATAGTGTCCAAATTTGGATCTGTTAGGGTCAATGGGTTGCCCTTTTTGAATTCCATCCAATCTATAAGCATAAATATAAGACAGCAAACCAATATCAATTAAAAATATAAGCATAAAAGACATGTTCTTTTGCTTATTGACACAAAATTACATGAAGCTTTTGTCCTAACTTCCTTGATTTGCTTATAGACTTCATTTTTGTTATTCCTCCTATATTTTTATTCTTTAATTCAGCCGACCTAGATGGGGAACCTCCTTCCATGTTATCTGTTGAAGTCATCTTTACAAGAAAATATGACATATTAGTAATAAATAATTACATACAAAGTGATATATGACATTCATAAACAGGAAAACTATTAAAATCAAATTTATAGATGCACCTTTTTCTTTTTTTAGGAACCTTACTAAGTTTCCTATGGCCTTTTTATGAAATGAAATGATGGATTTAACCAAATACCCTCTTCATGATCATGTCTTGCATAAAAGTCTCCATCATCTATCACTGTATCTGCATTTGACATGTATTCTACACTTCTCAAAGGATCGTCCTCCACATTAATATCTTTTTCCATGAATTCACCATCGGTTAAAGCATTGGTTTTATTAGAGAGCAAGACAATTGACCATGACTTGTCAATAGGATCTAGGACGTAAAACACTTGTTGAGCCTGTAATGCAAGAATAAATGAGTCATTTTGATAACCTACCTTCTTAAAATCGACTCTTATAAAGCCTATGTTGTCAATTTGAACTCCACTGTTGTTATCAACCCACTTGCATCCAAATACTGCTACTCGAAACTTAGTGTAATCCAACTCCATATGTTTTCAATTACCCCAAAATATGACATATTGGCATAAACTGGGTTTCTATCCTTTGAAGTAGATATATGTAAGGATTGAGCAACAAGAGTTACCCCATTATTTTACATTGTGCTTTGGTCATCACACTCTTTTGTGTAAAAGGTGAAGCCATTAATTAAGTAAGAAGTGTATGCAAATGTATCAATACAAGGACCTTTTGATAACAATCGAATCTTCTCTGTAACAAAATGTTATTCTCTACCAATTGCTCACCCACATGTTCTTGTAGCCATGGAATGAATCTTTGGTTGTGTTCTTTTGTAATCAAATTCTCACCTCTGTTAGGATTTCTATGCTTCAGTATAGACTTGTGCATATTGATAAAAAGTTCTATTTCAGGGGTATTTTGTAAAACATATAAGTGTGCTTGATCCCATTGTAGTTTAGGAACCTCTCTTTGCTGACAACCACTACTACCTTCCCTTAAAGTCCTTTCTGTGTGACTAGAATTTGAAAGACCAACTGATTCAATATTTGACAAATATTTATTACAAAATTCAACAGCTTCTTTTACTAAATATCATTCAGTAATACACCTGTCTGGTCGGCTTCTATTTTTAACATACCTTTATAAAATCTTCATATACCTTTCAATGGGATACATTCATCTCATATATGTAGGGCCACACAATTTTGTCTCTTCCACCAAGTGGAGCACTTTTAAGAAAAGAGAAAATAGAGAAAAAATTAAAGGGTTAAGCTCCGAGAAACTTACTTAGAGTCGATCAAAACAAAAGTTCAAGTATGGATTCAAGAAAGAGTAGGGGGTTTAAGAAAGGTTTCTTTAAGGAGGAAAGGTGGGAGAACATAGAGAAATGAGAGAAAAGGTAGCTTGGCTTCTAATGCAAGTTCTTAGAATGGAAGTTCCTTAAATATCTTTCTAAACACATGTGTTCTTGCTTGAGCGAGCAGACTCTCGCTTGAGTGAAATCTACTCTCGGCTACACGGAAACATGATACAAAGGTTTTTTTTTTCCAATTTTTGATATTCTCACCCGAGCAAGAGGCTTTCTCATCTGAGACAAAATAGATTTAGAGAGCTCTTATCTTCCCCTGTACTTTCTTGCTTGGGCAAAAGGATGGTTGGGACGATATTATCTCTTCTTGCTTGAGTTTCGCCTAAAGGAGAATACTCTGAAATGCTTAGTCTAAAAAACTCATTCTTACTTGAGTGAGACTTTCTACAACTATCAAAATTTAAATATTTCTAATCTAAAACCAATAAAAAAATAAAAAAATAGCAACAGAAAATGAGAATGATATAAATTCAAAATGATATTAAAAAAATGGTATGTTGAAAGTCAGAATACTTTGTAAAAGAATTTAGTCTAATACTTTTTGAAAATTAAATATTATATAAATATTAAGTTGAAAAATAAAATAATTTAATCTGATTAAAAATAATTTTTCAAGTATTATTAATATAAATTTGAGTCTTATAAACACAACATGAAATAAAAAATTAAAATAGCATACCCTATTGTCACTGCTAAAAAAAATCTCGAAAGAGAAATGAACAAATTTTATATCTAATTTGCTAAATTCTCATCACAAATATATTTAGACACAAAATTAGAAATAAAATATTATTCATTATTAAATTATTGATTAAAGACAATATTTAATTTTATTTTTAATTAATGACATAAACAATCTAATTTATTTAGTATTTGTTGCCTCAAAGTAAAAGTGATAATTCTATCTTTAATAGAGATGAAAATTTTCATCTCAATTCCATATAAATTCTATCTAAGAATTAGATACGAATTTATAGTTTTATTTCAAATTTGAACTAACGTAAAAAATATATTTTAAATTGGTTCAAATTTAAATTGTGGTAAAAAATATTTTTTAGAAAAATTTTTTATAATCAATCTAAACTTTATGATTTTTATATCAATTGATTGTTTTAACAGTAAAATAGTGAATCAATTAAATCTTATTTAATGAGTTCAGTATTTAAAATATCTTAATACTATACAATCAAGCACATAAAAAAATAAAATAAAAATACACTTGTTTCTTATAAAAATTATCGATTAAAAAAAATAATAGAAAAAGTGGATATATAATTTGCATTTACAATTTTTAATTTTCTCAAAAACTTCATTCTTAGAATTTGTTTATATTTTTCTCATTAATTTAATCCAAAAAAGAAAAAATTCATAATAAGTAATTTTTCTGAAAATGCAGAATTATAATGAAAATATTGTTCCAAAACGTCTTTTCTTCACAAAGTTTATGGTATTTTATTAGTAGACCAAGTATCTATTATCATTATTCTGATTCACATTAAAGACTATCTTGACTGAAATACAATGACATCTTCATGTGTCTTTTGTCATTGACACTACCAACATTGTATGTTGCAATGTCTCGGACTCAATGAGTTGTGCAAGCAGGTTTCTGAACCGTGAGAACAACTCATCCATGATATCTTCGCCAAACTCAGCTGATAAAAGAGGTTCTAAACCAGCTCTCACGTACTTAGATATGAACTCTCCTCTCATTTTGCTACCAAGAACAAAGTCATCAACATCTTCTTGAATGTTTGCGTCCCAATCCATTTTGATAGTCTTCAATTTTTCAAGCGTAAAAGATCCTTCTGCCTCAATCACTTGTTTTACTTCCTCAGCAGTTGGACCATAAAGAGGCATATCAAAGAAGTCCAACTTTTCCTCTTCAACCAAACCCTACAAATTACAAGGAATCTATTTATAAAGAAAAGTAAAATTTAGAATACATAAAATGAGTTTGTTCAACTGAGTTAACCTAAAACTCATCAATAAAAATGTAAGATTTGAATTTTAAATTTTAAGTTCAATTTAAATTTGGCATTTTACTCGATCCAATCAAGCTTATGTGAGATAAACACTATAATTTGTTAAAAATAAAATAAAATAAAATAAAATCGAGCTTTATCTATTTTGAATACCATCTTTGTAAGTTTGAAGAATTTCTTGTTAATATGAAATTTAAAAATGTAATATACCAAAATATAAAATTTTTGAAGAAAATTACAAAATTTTAAAAATGTAAAAAATTATCATTGATGATTTTTATGTAAAATTAATTAATTTTTATATAAAAGGTGAGTGGATGATTTTTTGAGTTCTATGAAATTAACTAATTTTCTATAAAAATTATCATCGGCTATGTTAGCGATTTTTGAGTTTATCTTATTTTATATAAAATTTGTCATCGACAAGTTGTTATATTTCTATAAATTTTTCTAAAATTTCATAGTTAAATTTATAACATTCTCAAATACTATATAAAAAAACTTAAATATAAATCATTTTACTCCATCCGCTAAAATTTGTTATTCAAAATTAATCGAATGAGCCAGAAAATTTATTTCACCGCCCTAGTAAAAAATGAACGTTGTTTATAAAGCAGTTTATATTTTTGTGGATGCAAACCTCATCGCTTACCTCTTGGACCATGTCATTCAGTAACGTGCCAATTACCACACAAGGATTATAAATTTCACATGCTTTTTCTCTGCCCATGAACGTTAGAACCATATTACCACCCCGTTTTAGTTCCTTCGAGCGTGATTCTAGAAAGACTGTGAAATCTTTTTCAAATTGCTTTAAGTACGCTTCGTGTGCTGATTGCGGGCTTTTATTTGTTACGTAAATATTTCCCTTGTTGAGTGGCTCTGCTATCTTAGTTGAATCTTTCGGTGCCTGACGCCATGAAAGTTGGAACCAAGAGAAAAAGTTTAATTAAACTCATTAACGAATGATTCAGGTACTACTTAAATTAACTTTTTTTTTTATCACATATCACAATTGATGCATTGAAAATCATAAAGTAAGTTTTTCTTTATGATTTTAATATAAAATTCTATTTTTAATTCATTAACCACTATATTAAGAGCGTGATTAGTATTTTCTTAATTTAATATGTGTAAAGCCTCGTAACAATAACGAGTGCTAGGAGAAATGCATGCCTTTTATAAAAGATCAAATTTAGGCGAACTTTTTAGGTATTTAGTATGGTAAATGCTAAGAGTACTGGTTAAAGAATTAAAAGTAAAATTTTTTGTCTAGCTAAAAATGTTCATAATTCAACTTATATGTAATTTTTAATGCAATTTAATTACATAATTTTTAATAAAAGAATTCTTTTTAAATTCTTTAATAAATGACTTAAAAACACCAATTAATAAAACATTTTTAGTATTATTTTTTAATTTAATTTGAGTTTTAGCTTAATAACTACAATAACGTTGATGCAGATGAATTTTTATGGAGGTTCAATTCTAATTTTGATTAAAAAATAACATTAAAAATACCTAAGAAATTCCTCCTAAATTTTAACCTTTCATTAAATTCTTGTAATTGTAAACATTCAAGTTGAAAGAACTGTGTTAATTTCTAAACAAATCATTTTGAACTATCCAAAGTCGTCATAATATGATTTGAAATGGGGTATGGTGCTACTAACCTGAGATAGCCATTGGATACTGCAGGAGGAATGAAAGAAGTGAATGTAATCATTCGGGAAGAGCCTTCCATAAAAGCTTCCCGGTGTTGCATTGACAAAGCATCCAACATTGTCTCCTCTTAATTCTTGGTGTATACTTTGATAGAAATCAGGGAGTAACTTGATGATGTTATTGAAATCGTTCCCAAATAGATCATTGAGGTAAATTTGTAATACTGATGGCTCATGGTTTAAGCTCAAGTTAGTTTTATCGATGATGTTCAGGATATTAGACACAACCATTAGTGAATTTGGACCTGAAGAGCAACCTAAATCTGCTACTTTCCAACAGCTTTTAAAGCCTGTATTTGACATCATGCTTTTCACACTCTCTTCAAGTATGGGCATCGCTTTAATTATCAGTTTTCTCTGCAAAAAATTAATTTGGGTCAAGCAGTATTAATTGAATAGACATTATAATTAAAAGGAAAGCAGTTCTGGGGAAAAAATAGGCACTAGTTACTATCAGAATTTAAGTTAACATTAAATTTAAATGATTTATTCATCTATTTTTTTAATAATTTAGACTTGTAACATTCTAACTCGAATATATTATGACTTTTATAACATATTAATATAGGAATTTGTTATTTATCAGCTACTATCTTTAAACTTATTTTTGTGTTTCTAATATGTTAAGAATTATTTCATTATTAACTATAAGCTGGAGATGTGAAAGTTAACACGGAAGAATAGCTATTGAAATGAAAATTAAATTTGTACGATCTTAACTGTCGAAGACGTATGAAGTGTTATGTTAAATACCACACAGTTGAGAAATTAAAATATAAGATTCAAGTTGTAAACCAATGTGATTCATATACAATATAAATAGAAAGAATACTTAATTACTACAAAAGGACATTATTTGGCAGCATTTTTTTTTTTTTTACAGATGTAAAGCTGTTAAGATTTGATGGCAGAATAATTGTTGCATTAAAACTATTTCTTGGCCCCTAGTAAAAATAATTAATGAATAAAAAATTTTGTAAAAGTTTTGGATAGTTCACATGGTAGAAAAAAGCTCTTAATAAATCAGCTAACATCTTCCATTCAACGTTAATAAGTAAAAGGAGAATGTCTTTTATAAAAGCTTACATAAAAAATAAACCGTGACTTGAGAGGTTTTTGAATCCAATATTTAATATTGGAATACAGGACCGATAATATAAGTAATATTAAATGAAAGACGTGATTATAATTTTATCCTACTTTAAGTTCAAACTCTTCACCACCTTTAGCTTGAATCTCCGCTTTCTCAACCGTACCCGCATGTACAAATCCCCAAAATCATCAAAATGGGGGCAAACAAGTTTTTCGCCTTAATTAGACAAACCACCAGCTTCGTTATTATATGATTATAAATATAATTTTGAGACGAAAATATCAACTTTTTCTTTATCACAACTCAACCTAGAAATATCTTTCAAAAGGACAATGCAAAATGAGAGAGGAGGAGTTGTTACTGGGTACTTGTATGGGGAAGAAGGGATTGGTGGAAGTGGTTATGGGGTACTATGGAGGAGTTTTGGTTATGATTGGGGCTGGGTTACACGTGATAAGATGGAAAAGGAGTTGTTGTTATTGTTATTGTTGAAGCCGAGGTGCAACAAACTGAGAGACTTCGTCGTCAGCGATGTCGTTTAGGGTCATCAAAGGGGTTGCTGGAGGGTTTGGTGGTCAAATGGAGGTGGTGGTCAGAGAGGGTTGGGTGGCAGAGGTTGGTGGCGGGCCATTGGCGAAAGGCGATTCACGTTGGGAGAATATGGAACATGAGAGTGTCTAGAGTGAGTTGAGATTGTAATGTTTAAGGAAGAAGCACTTGAATCGGGGTCGAGGTCGCATTCAAGGGCTTGGTTTCTTAGAGCGAAGATTGGTCATGTTCTGATTGCCAATGATGTCTTTTAAGTTTCTAAGAAGGGGGGTTTTTCCGACAAATTGGCAAGTTCAGTGTAATGAGAATTGAGAAGCGCAACGAGAATTGAATTGGAATTGATCTGAGAGGAAGTTGAAGAAGAAGAAATGTTATGAGAAAATGCATAATGTGAATGAATTGGAAGAATGGAGAAGAGAAGGAGGGTAAGAAAGAAGAAGAAGTTAGAGACACCCCAGATGGAAGAGGATTCACGGGGCTCATTGTTGCCGAAGGTGATAAAGAGTAAAAGCATAATGAATAACTTGTATTACTCGTTACAGATTTTTTTCACCATCCATTTTTAACTATCCAATAAAAAAAGATGTCAATCAACGGTCACATTGTATTTTTCACTTTACTTATTAAAAAACTCTACTTTATTTATTGAAAAATTAAAGAAAATGTTAGAATCACCCTAATAAATCATAAAAAAAAAGTATCAAAAAACTTTGTCATAAGAGTCTTGTTAACTGGGTTCATTACAAAAAAAAAAAAGTCCTTATTCGAAATTGTGTTAGAGTATGACAGAAATTACAAAAGAAATATTTAATATAAATTTTAAAAAAAATTATTTTTAATTCTTTAAACAATGCTTAAAAGGTACTAGTTAAGCATTTATTTTTAATAATAACATGAAAAATCAAAAGTGATTTTTAAATTTTAAAATCAAATTTAAAATTTTCAATCATGACCCAAACTTTAAGAAAAACTAAAAAAATAAATCACTTGAATGATATAGTTTTATTTTATTAACTCCAACCTTTAAGATTGAATTTAAATATTTGAAAATAGTAAATTTTTATCAAAAATATATTTACTACATTCAAGTTATAAAAAAATATATAATAAATATATTTTTAATAAAATTTGTTATTATTAATTACTTAAATTCAACTAAATTAACATTTTTCATTCACATATGTTAAGGCAATTAGCTGGATATACGATTTTAAGTAGATGGAAGCTACTTGGTATTGCTTTGGAGTAGGCACAAAAGATGCATTCTATGCTTCTTTGTGCATTATTGTCATATTAATTGACTTTTCTACTCTGGTAGTTGCCATTATATCAGTCTTTAATTAATTGGTTTCTGCGTTTTGAGGAACAGCATACTACTGGGATGCAATTTCCTTTGATCCTTTGCAGTTTTGTTTTGTCAGTAGTAAAAATAAATTGAAAAATTAAAGAAAATTTTAAAAGTAAAATTAATAAATACTATCTAAATTAAAAAAACAATTACAATAACTATTTGAAATTTAAAAATCATAAAAGAATTTATGGCTAATGAAAATTCAAAAAATAACTATAATTATATTTTTATTTTAATCTAAACTATATGCATCTTATATGAAATTAAGATAATCTTATGATGGGACTAGTTTTCTCAATAAATATTATTCTATATATATCCAAAGTTAAAACTCAAAATTTATAATCAATCTCTCATTGGTTAAAATATTTAATAAGACCTTATTTGAAAAAAAAAAATTGTATTCTTCTCCACTTTTTGTTTCCTCTTTTCTTTATCTTTATCTTTATTTATTTTATTTTTTTTGGCTTTCTCCTCACTTCCTTCTTGTCAGTCCTTTCTCTTCTTTTTCTTCCTTCTAGATCATTTCCCTCCACCTCCTTTTTTTTTTTATTTTTCTTTCTTCGAGTTACCCTCCAATCCCTACCAGCATCACTTGGTTTAAATGATTGAAAATAAATCAATTTTAAAATTTGAAAACAATAAATAAATTTATAAAAAATGGCATAAAATTTGGAAAAAAATATTGATAGCTTACGTTTAGCTTGAATATTAAGAATATAAATTTCAATTGCAATACTTAAGCGGCTATGTGATTGGTTTCGCCGTGAGCAATTTTACAGCAACACCAAAAAGCCAACCAAAAACAGTCCTTTTCTAGATCAAAGCATTTTTTATATATACAATTTGAACGCATGAAAAATCCCAATTCAATTTTAGTGATCGTAATATATAACAATTAGATTGCAGATAAAAAGAAACAATACCTGAAGGAAGGAGTTGTTTGCATAGCTTGTTTCTCCTGTGCCTTCGTTCATGCGAAGGACTCGTGCCGTTGCCATATTGACTGGAAATGGATTGCAATATCAAGTCATGGTAGTATGCATTTAAAACCAACAAAATGTATTTATACAATTTCTTTTATTATAATAACGTGTACAATACGAAAACAAAACGAGAAACGAAAGAAATATATAATAAATTAATTGATATAATAAAATAAATAAAATAACGTTGAATAAAAAATTATATAAATTATAATATGAATTATTAAGAAACATGAGAGAAATAATATTTCTATTATTTAGAGAACGAAAATATTAATACAAACGTGTTTATGTAAGGCTTTATATACCAGAAGTTATTTCTAGCAAATCCGAATTTGTATTTAAAAAATTATAAACTCACATTTTATGATTAAAATTAATAAAAATAATATGATTAAAATTATATACCAAAAGTTTTATTATTTTTACCTAAATTTTTAATATAATTTTAGAAATTTGTTACTTAACTTTTTCTTATTATCTTGTATAAATTTTTATAATTTTTGTGAATATCTATTTTTATATTTATAAAATTATCTTTATTTTATTTTAAAATTTACTTTCAAGATTCTTAACTCTTAAATTTAAATTTATTAATATATATTTATGTTAATTATTAATATTTAATTAAAAATTGACACCATATGATAAAGTATTAGTTTAAAATAAATATATTTTAAAATTATTTAAATTTATTAATTTTTTTATCATTTTAATATATATTATTTGTAGTTATAAAGCTAAAATAATTTTTTTTAAAAATCATGGTTTAAAATAATATTTATATATATAATTATTTAAAAAATATATAATTGTGTTATTTAATTATTAATTATATATATTTTAAAATAAAATAAATATAAATTATCTAATTATTAAAATAATTTTTATAAGTTTTTCAAGCGTTTCTAAGCACATACTCGAAATAACTAGTAACTAACTCCTAACTAATAATCAATTTTCAGACTTAATAATTTTTATAACAACCCAATCAAACTTTAAAATTACATACAAATATTTGTAGCATGAGATGAATATATAATATAAAATAAGATACAATCAACGATAAAAGGAATAATATAAGATAAGATACAATCATTATAGGAAATAGACTAAGTTCTTTTAAGGAAAAATATACCTCAAAGATAGTTTTTGACTAAAATATCAAAAAGATTCACAGGTTCCTTCACTATAATGAGTTAGGAGATTGTAAAAATTTAAGTTCAAAACTTGTCAAAGGATTTACCTATCGACCCATGTCAGTGAAGACTGGCAAAAAGCCCTATTCTTTATTGAAGGCTGCATTTCGAGATATTTTGAAGGGTTATTAGAGCTTCATTCTTTTTCGACCAGAAGGCTACATTATGAGGAGATTTGGAGAATCACAAAGAGAGTCTAATCAAAAAGGCCATATTTCGAGTAGTTTTGACACGACATGAAGAAATCCATTTTTAGTCGACAAGACGGTGGCCCTTTCACGGTTTTCTGAAGATTTTTAAGCTTCTGAACTGAAAATAATCAATACTGGTTGAAAAATAGAGACTAACAGGAAAAATATTCTAAGTTCACGAAACTGAATGAGTTCTCAGACTTCCCTCAAAACTGATTGAAAATATAGGGACTGAAAAGGAAAATATTTTAAGATTTTTCTCAAAATTGGTCAAAAAGTGAAAACTGACAGAAGAATTATCCTAAGTCCACAAGACTAAATGAGCCCCAAATTTTCCTCAGAATTGGTTGAAAAATAGGGACAGACAAAGAAATTATTCTAAGTCCACAACACTGAATGAGTTCTTAGATTTCTTCCAAAATTGGTCGAAAAAAGAGTTAAGCATGGAATAATTCAAAGTCCAAGAGACATGATAGGGTTCAGAAAGTGATATTGAAAGAATTACAAGGTTCAAAGTGGTTATCAGCGGTTATCATCAAATGAAGGTCTGAGACACGAAAAAAGATTGTGGACGTTAACAATTATGAAAGAAGTCACAATTGTCAACACGATCAGAAGCAGTCGTGAATAATAAGCAGCAACAGTTAAAGGCAAGCTCGTATACAAAGCAGTTATTGAGAAGTATCTGCAAAAAGAGGAAAACAGTGGTGGTCAATTTACCTATAAATACTATGAAACTTCATATTTCAGAGGATGACTTTTTGCACCCAAACACCACACCTAAAATTCTCTGCACGCTGAAATTCAGCATTGCACCAGATGTTTATCTTCCCACATTTTAATTCTAGTTTGTTTATTTCTTGTTTGTTTTACACTTTTAGTTTCCTTCAGTACGTTGGTGTAAACTTTTTACATTTAGTTCAATACTTTATCATCATTTAGTTACCATTTCTACTCTATTATTTGCTTTATAATGTCAATTTTGGGCATTATATTAAACAAAACACTAAAAAGAACTTAAGAGAACTTAAAATCCCATTCTCAAATTATTTTTAGATTTATTTGTTTATATTCTACAAATTTTTACGGTAAACAATTATATAATTATAAACTCTTCCATAAAAGCTTTTAATTTTTTTAAATTCGTATATATATGTGTATATAATTAATAAAAATATTAATTTTTTAGATGATGTTATAATTTAATATATGACAATATTTTTTAAAAATAAGCTTAAAAATTATTCTAATACAATATATTAAATAATTTATTAAAATAATTTGAAAAAATATAAAAATTGAAATTTATTTTTCATAAAATTATATTTTATGGTCTTCAAACTATTTCAAAACTATTTTTCAAGCACTACGGCAATTGTGAATAATGTAATTTTAACAAAACCCACCAGCGTTGAAACAAAAGTGATAAATAATGCGAAACTTTCATTCAAAGACTTCGAAGAATGAATCATGACCGTTGATAGATTATTCACGTTTCTACGGTTTTAATTGATTACGCATTCATCCATTAAATTTCGTGCAATAAATTTTGTACAATAACAGCAAAGTTAGCGTTGAAATTTTGCCCACGAAGCTTGCATAGGACGGTGCATTTTATTAGTGTACACACTACCTAAAAACTAGTCTACCGTACCATCCAAAACGCCAACACGTTTTCTTTTCTGATTAAGAAACCACAAGGAGGTCAACATCAAGATTTTGTTTTCTCAAATAATATAAAAAAGTTATTAATTATTAACAAACTAAATTTATTAAATATCAGAGTAAAATTTGTTATTACAGTTTTTATCTAATAAAATTAAATTATTAATGAAGAGTTTAAATTTAAAAATTTGTATTAACAAAAAATGTAATATACTAGCATTTATATATTAACAATATATTAATATTTTGTACTTAGTTTTATTTATATTATATTAATAATTTAGTTTGTATGAAAAATATATACTAACGGTTTTCTGTAATGAAAACAACCATACGAAGATAACAATCCTCGTCACTTGCATGGCATGCAAATGGTAATATCAAATATTTTTTATAGAGGATAATCATTTAGAATTAATGTTAGGGGAAAAACTAAAGATAAAATATTTTATTCAATAATGTAGAGCAAAATTCGAATTAGAGAGGATCAAAAGGTTGGAAATACTCCAGATCAAGAGAACGAGGAATTTGATATAACAGTTAGCTGACTAGCTAATTAGTAAATACACATTCGGACCCTCCTCCGTTTCCTGAACAAGTATACATGTCGAAAAGTATTAAAATTATTTAAAATAAATTCTGAGAAAATTATTTTACAAGAATTATTTTTTAATATAAAAAATATCTTAATTTAATTGTTTGAACTAAAAAGATATAATAAAATAAAATAAAGAATGATTCAAATCTAAAAATAATTCAAATGAAATAAAACAATACAGTATATGACAATAAACTATTCATTCATCAGATCTAAAAGTAATTCAAATAAAATAAAATAATACAATATATGATAATAAACTATTCAAGATAAATTATAAGATCTATATGTTTATCTTTACACTTTTTTATATTTATTTTTAGATTAATTTTAATTCTAATTTTTTTAATTATTAATCATTTATACTAAATTTTTTAATACTCAATGATCATGCAATGTTAACCGTCTTTTTCTTAAGTTATTATTTTCAATGATGACTGAAAATTTTGGAAATAATTTTTTTCAGCATTACAATAATTTTTTTTATTGGCAATTGATATACTTTTTACTAGCAATAAAAATATTCATTAAAAATTTTACCAACAAAAAATTATTGGCCATTGCATTTAATATCGATAAAAACTTTACTGACCATTATTAAAAATATTCGTAAAGACTTAATTTATCATTGCTTAAAACCTCAATTTATCGTAACAAATGTTAATGATAATTTAAATATCCAATAAAATTGATTTCAAAATTTATTTTTTATTCATTTACTAGTCTTTATTTTTGCTGGTAAAATTTTAAAATTATTTTTATTAATAATTAATAATATCTTAAAATATAAATAATTTGATTAGTAAAAATTTTAGTGATAATAATATTTGTACTTATAAATTTTTAAATAACTATATACATACAAATATTTTAAATAAATAATAGTAAATTATTTCAAAGTAATGATATATTTGACTTCTGTAATAGTTAGATTTTGCAAATTCCATGATGAAAAAAAGCTTTTTACTATGAAAGAACATCATAGTAGTGGTTGACTTTGCTTATTTAGACTTCTCTTCCTTATTTCAAAATTCACCTTTTACAACGACCATGCTATCTTTCAACATGTAAAACAATTTCATTGGTTATGAGAACTCATTGCATATTTTATTTTCTTTTATTTCATTACTTGTCAGCCCACTCAATTTTATTTAGTTCCACTTAAATTAGAAATCCAAACAAAGCCTATAGTTTAACTTTATCACAACCATACAAAAATATATTACAACCAAAACTTGGATAATAATACTAAATGCTTCATCAATTCATTTATATAGAACACAGTAGCAACAATAATAATAGGAAATAATTCTTTGATAACAAAAGAGAATTAAGAAAGGGGTAGTAACATGTAATATACATTTATGATGCATATATACACAAAGTTCATGAGAACCAA